TGTGACAATCACAGAGGAATTAGTTTGACTAATATAGTGTCTAAAATATTAGCTTCAATAATACTTCGACGTCTAACCAAAGCTCGTGAAATGCAGACTAGAGAAAACCAGGCTGGTTTTCGACCTGGACGTGGTTGTATAGATCAGATATTCACACTATGTCAGGTTCTAGAACATAGACACACATTCAGACGCCCCACAATGGTAGTATTTCTTGACTTTAAGGCGCATTTGACTCTGTTGATCGTGAGGTTCTATGGCAGTGTTTGTCACTGAAAGGAGTACCAAAGAAGTACATTAACCTCATAAAGGCTCTCTACTCGAACACAACTGGTCGAGTGAGAGCTTATGGCGAACTGTCATCAGAATTGATTACCTCAAGTGGTGTTCGTCAGGGCTGTCCACTCTCTTCATTCTTGTTTAACTTTGCCGTTGACGTGCTTTTAGAAATAACAATTTCCTCATCTAAATTTCCAGGAGTTGAAGTTCTACCGGGAGATCCACTTGTTGACTTAGAATATGCCGATGACATAGTTCTATTTAGTGAAGACGCTGACAAAATGCAGAGTTTGCTGACCACTCTAAGCAACAATGCAAGCATGTTCGGCATGCGATTTTCTCCCTCGAAATGCAAAATGTTGCTTCAGGATTGGGTTGCATCGGCACCCGAACTAGTGCTAGGAAGTGAAGTTGTTGAGCGTGTCAACCGCTTCACTTATGTCGGAAGTCTCATCAGCCCTTGTGGTCTGGTGTGTGACGAAATCTCAGCACGGATACAGAAGGCTCGACTAGCTTTTTCCAACTTGCGTCATTTGTGGCGTAGGCGAGATATCCGTCTATCAACCAAAGGACGTGTTTACTGTGCAGCAGTTCGTTCCGTCCTACTATATAGCAGTGAAACATGACCAGTAAGAGTAGAGGATATTCGTAGGTCACTAGTATTTGATCATAGGTGTCTTCGAAACATTGCTCGTATATCCTGGGACCACCGAGTAAGTAGTGCAGTTGTTAGGAAACGGGTACTATGTAAGGATGGCAAATCAATTGATAAAGTAGTGAAACTTAATCAGTTGCGATGGCTGGGACATGTGTTGCGCATGCCCAACCACCGACTGCCCCGACGTGCTATGTTTTCTGGTGTAGGAGTAGGTTGGAAGAAAGCTAGGGGCGGCCAGACCAAAACATGGCACAAATCCATGGAGTCACTGACAAGTGGACTGAGCCATGTTGGTAGATGTAGACTACCTGGTTGGGGACCACGAGATGATAGCAATCGATGGTTAGAGACCTTGAATGACATGGCTAAAAATCGTTTGCAATGGCGCAGGTGCATCCACTCTCTGTGTTCTCCCAAACTCTAATCTTCTGTATTCTTCATGTCCTTTATTGTTTTTCCAAATCTATTCCACTGGACTATACTCCTTAAATAACATAATCAAACCCTAATTTTCCCTATCACTACCTCTACCACTACGGGATTTGAATCTCTGTGCTAATGTGGGATGGCAACTCGAACTGATGTACGTACGTACGAAGTTCCACGTTGTTTCTGACTGACTGACCTATCACTTAACATCTCTAAAGATCTATTAACGAAATTGCACGGAAGCCAACCAGTTAATCTATCCCTATACCTATACGAATTATCCCGACTATCAATAACTTCTTGAGCTGGTACTAAGTCAACTAAGCGTAGTGCATAAAATTAAAGAAAATAAACATCTTGTTAATACTCTGAAGTCTTATATTTTGCTTTTTCGGTTAATCTAAAATCATGGTATCAAACATAACAACATGCAATTTAATCTACATATTAATTAAAGGTGTAAAAAAAGTCACCGAAATTTAATTATTTTTCTCTCTCAAGTATTGAAGGGTGTATTTTAAGTCTCTACATTCAAACCCGTTGTTCTCCTCCTTTTGAGTGTTAATATGTACAACCACCCCACTTATTTTCATAGTTGGTGTTACTCCTATTCAAGTACCAGTCAATCTACCTCAAAAGTTAGCCATTATGCGTTGTTATTTGTCTGTGTGTTATGCATGTATTTATGTGTGAGAGATAGAGAATCGCTTTTCTCTGTGCTTATTTACATTTCGTAATTATGTATTCACCTCAATTTAGCATTTTTTTACTTTCAAGGAAAAAACCAACCTAATTTGTTACTCTTTCATCTTCGGATGATATCATCATCTTCTTCGCTGAATATTTTTATAATTCGTTTGTTTCGAATCGACTTGGTTATTGTATGTATATAACCTTGACCTTTGTTTTGCAAGTTTAAACCAAGGTTATAACAACTGTCTTATCGGGTCAAATATAACATGAATTCTGTGAACCGAAACTTCAACTTTTTTTATTCTATTCCTTTCATTTCACTTTGTTCTTTCTTTTTTCTAATGTAAAGATGAATGATTGATTTGGTAATTATACGGAGATGAATCATATTATTCTTTATATTTTATCATGTTGTTGTTCTATTACGAACAATTTTACATTTGTATTGCAGGCACATAGTTATTGCTTTTGACCTGAGTGTGACCCTAATGGAAAAATTGTATATGTGATGATGAACTGTTACATGCCTATATATTATGTGGGTATAGTAGTAGTAGTAATAGTAGTGATAGTAGTACGTTGTTGTATTTCAATAATTGTAATTAATTATGCAACTGTAACATCACCGCTATATTTCCATGTAAATAAATATTTTCTAGTTTATTTAAATACAAACATAAATGCTTGAAGCAATGTAGCCTGACCAAAAAAAAGTCAAAATTGTCATACTAAATGAATACTTTTTAACGTTTTGGATATCCTTAAGGTTGAGAAAAGTTTCTTGTCATATACATAAAAAGTTGTATACTTATATTCTTTGTCAAAGGATTGATCTCCAATCATTTTGTTCATGTACTTTCTATACTACTGCTATTACTACTACTGATAATGTTACTACTTGTACTACTCACTATGTTAATTTAGTATGGCAACTTGAATCGATGCACATAATATATCAGTTTTCGTATGTTTAACGACTGACTGCAGCCATCTATTTCACTTAAAACTGAAGAGATAATGCCATCTACTACTAAAACATGAATTGTATTCAGTGAGTCCATTTAATGAGTATTGATTCAGATAAATGTATTTATTTGGAACTTGTGTTTCTGATTTCATTCAACTCTACAAACTATTGATGTGAATTGTTAAACTCACACCTTACCGTAAATGATTTTTCCAAGCAATCTAATCAAGTAAAAGAATTCCACTCAATATTATATTTTTAATTAATTTAAACATCGTATGTAAATTAATTTTAACTGAGAATAATATGAATTCATTTGTTATTTTATTGTTGTGTAATTCTCAACAACCAACTACTTTCAGTTTCTATACACTTTCAATATTTAATTGTCTAGAATGCAATAGAATTGTATAATATTGTTCTATGATTAAAGCCTATTGTTATGCTATTAGAAATAAAATCTATTATATAAAACGAACATAAAAGCTACAATTATTGTTTGGAATAGAGGAAAGAAAATCATTCGCATCATCCACTTTACGTTTAACACACCTATATTTTGCACTACTGAATTACCACTATTTATACTCAAAAAAGTATGGAATCGGTTAAAAGAAAAACGAAATGAAATAAAATCAGATGGTAGAACCCTAATAAAAAAGTTTTTAGTGTGAATAAGGCAACTGAAGAAAAACTGGTGAATGGTTAACCAAGTAATGATGTTTTGATCAAATAATGAAAATTTCTTATATAGAATAGATGAAATGTAACTAATAGTGGAATCCAAGACGCGTGTCTCATCTTACTTGAGATTCGTCAACTGAATATACCTGCATCCCAGCCTAGATGTTTATTAGGGTATTCAAAATCAGTACCTTCCGTTTCAAGCTCCAGTGCGTTGTCCACTTCGCCACTTTTAGCCATATTTCATCTAAACCTATATCACAATGGCTATAACTAGACAGTCCACACATGATTCACATATGTCATATGAAACTGATCACATCTCAGTCATAATATCAATAGCAAGACAATCTAAAGCATTACAAATGAAATCAAAAAATGTATTGAATTACACTGGTCAGAGAATTAGATTGAAATGCTGTTTTCTTCTCTTTTCCAAGTACATAGATAATTATTAGTAGTTCCTTTGATGATAATAAACAGTGTACTACTCACTGAATCACATTGCATCTACATTGTTCTTTTCTTAGTTTCTAGATGTCAACATTATGTTATTGATAACTTACATCGTTTGGTTAGTATAGTCATTACAAACATATATAGATACCTCTTTGTATTCATATCTGAATCTATTTCAGCTTATAATTATATCATTTGTCTGTGTTTGCTGATTCTGTGAATTCTTCCCATGATAATATTAAAAAAATGCCATATTCTTTATATAAGCATTATGTATTACCTAACCATAAAGTTGTCGTTATTTTTTTCACAGTTCTAATCATTATTTTCATCATCATTGTGTTTAAAGTACAATCAATTTTGTCTATCAGCTTGTATTTTTCTAAGATTAAGGTCAGTTATCACCTCTGGTCAAACATCAAAACTATTTAAATGTTAATTATGATATGAAAATTCCGTGTTTAAATGTTTAATTCTCAATACCATTTATTTAATAGTACATGGTTTCGCTTGATTAATATAATAAATCATAGTGAAATTTTGTATACATATTTCAAAACCAAGTTCAATAGGAATATGTCGATATGATTACATCCGAGAACAATGCGATGATAGCAATTATTATTGTTCTTACTTTTACACATTGAATAATAGTTTATTCTATTAAACACACTTGTATTTTTTTAATTTTTTTTCACCCTATTGAATAAACATATTTATTTTTCTGATGAATTAATTCATTTCCATTTTTCTAATGGTTGAGTTTTTTTGTTAATGCATGAGTAAATGATTATTGTGTTCTTTCTATCTTCTCCAATCATCATCATTTAGGTTACACTTTGGAAGGAAAATTTAGAAGGAACCTGGATTGCTTTAAGTGAAATTGCACGTGGTGGTCATGATGCATCCGCTTTAATTGGAACTGAAGGGAATAGTCAAACATCAGATCAATCTACAACACAATTGGCTGCTGCTTAACAGTTACCTAATAAGATCTGTGGCCGTATGTGTATACATGCATGTACTTATGTATATGTATTCGTGTGTCAATACTCTTGATTCTTTGTCCTGTACACAATTGGTTCATCAATGCCTTTTATTTCACGTTGTAATCTATACTTTCTGCCTTTCTATGCTTCTACTGTTAATGTAGTAATAATATATTTAGCTAAAGCGTTTGTTGTTAACATTTATATGTTGAATGAATAGTTATTATTCACTTTTGGAAATTCCTCGGAAATTTGTACGACTATTTCTAATTACTTTTTTCAAAGGAAATAAATATTCAGCTATAAACGTTCATATTTATTTTAAACAACAGTTCCACTTTTTTTCATCTTAAAACAGCCCGCTAGTAACTTTTTATCGGAATGCTTGAGACGAATTTATAATTAGATGTAATCAAAACGATCTAACTAACATAGATACGTAAATATGTATTTATGAGAAATTACATTGTGCTCAAATTGCTAATGTCTTATTCATGACTCCAAATAACTATTAATTCGATAGCATGAGACAAAAAATAATCAATTTTCCAAAAGTTAACTATTTACCATAAAGGTGGTCAGTACGTGCGCCTCTATTTTACTAGACGACACTAATGGCTTTTATTGTTTACGGTTGTCACTATGGAAAACTTAACACGAATGTGACCTTTAGCCAGCAAGTGTATAATAGTCTGTTTGTAAACCATAATCAACAATTCGCTGGAAATTCGCTTTTCGTCCTCTCATTTTCGTAAACAACACCCCCTCCACGAGAAGGCAGTGAGTAGGACTTCCCTGGCAGAGGTCATATACGCGTGGCCATGTGAGAGCATTTCGAGAGGTAGAGCGAACTCTCGGCCCTATTAGGGCATTTTGGGGCGCTTTGACCGGATCCCAAACCAATGGTGCACATGGGCTCCAGTATCCTGAAGGAACAAATGGCGTGTGAACCAATCGTTGGTCACCGGCTACCATGGGACTGCATCTCCTTACGATGCTCCACTGCCTTGTGGGTCAGACGTTCAGGTCGAAGGCTCGGGGTGTGACCCCCTGAGAGAACCACCTGCCTCGGTCTGGGTACCCGGGCAGTATCACAGCCTTCACACAAATCAATTGAGATTCGTGTGGCGCATATGTACTTGGTGCCTCCTTGTATCAATACCTATGTGTTAAAATAAATAATAAAAATAAATAAAATGAAAATACATCAACAATAACCCAGTTAAATACTAATTCCAGTTGATGATCAGGTGCTTGAAACTATGTACGCTTCCACACCCAGGATAATTAGATGAGTTAAGATCTAATGCATGTACTGTTAGTCTACTACTAGTAGAACCCTCATCTACATTGATTTAGTTCGAAGCCTAAGTTAAAAGCCGAATGCCATTTGACTCTGCTTGATAAAAAGGCACAATTAGATGATGGCATATTCGTCCTCTGTTTCTCATCGTCAATTGAATTTCTAATTAATTTTATTAAAATCCCGTACAATGTAATTGTGTGTTGGCGATTCAATTAGTAATCATTAATTTTAGCTTTGAATACTTATAGCATCCAGTTTGTAATCGGAAGTATCCTTCGTCCTATTACAGTCCAGTAGATAAATCAAAATCATGTTATTAATAAGATTTTTAAAAATCTTTTATTTTTGCAATCATTGTCAAGAATAAACACACCAGAAAAAAGAGTGACATATTATAATTCAGTGATATTCCAATAATTTATCCTAACTTATGGTGAATTACTCGGGTAGGCAGTTTTTATCACGAATCGATTTCACCCAGTGAACAGTTGTATACGATTGGAACTTTATAGTTATTTTTGCGAAAGTATGTTTAGCTCAAAACCTTCAGTGACTTTAAACTGACCTTGAGGAAGTAAAACTAATCTTCAACCAGTTTATGAATAAATTGGTGAAGTGCTCTTTAGGTGTGGAAAGGAATAAATATGCTCTTTACTTTTTGACTTTAAATGTTAAAAACCCTTAGATTATCTTCAGGACTCCATGAAATGTGGTTCGTATTATTTAGTCTTCTGGTATTTGACAACTTGAAACTTTTTAGTAACTATATATTGGTGATTTTCACTTGTTTCTTAGTTAGCTTTCAATAAGATGCAAGCTACCGATCTTTATGTTTCAGATTTCGTTCAAAAATTCTATGAACTATCAAAACTGATTGGTTCGTCATAAGTGTATTTTCACCGTTATTTCTTCCTATTTGTGCATTCACAATCCCACATTAAATTTTTTGTCGAGCGTTATACCATTCACTCGACAGGTTGAGTTCTATTAACTATCATTTTCAAATACATCCTATTTAGCTTCCTTCCACGATCATCAATACATTCAAATATTTCAATTCAGATTTAATTTATTCTACAATTTACTACTTTTCAGCCTCAAGCAAACCAAATTATTCGTAATTTTGAGATTTGTTTCTAATCCATTTGATTACAATTGCAGCTGTTATGTATATGATGTTAACTTCTTGTAAAACTTGTTCTGAAGTATGGTAAGTTCTCAAAGAATCTGTAAGATTTTGAATGATTCTGTAGTGTGTGCTATTTATGTAGACATAAGTAGTATATGACGCGAGTTTTAAACGTAATGTCTGTCAGCAGAAGATAAAGGAAGATCAAGAAAGGAAGAGCGGGAACACGATGGAATTTGTATGGGAACTCATGAACAATCAAAGGACAGACAATCGATTGATGTTTGCAACAGGAACAGTCGAGTTTGATATGATGGATTGTTATTTTGCAAATTAACGATTCACTATATGGTTGTTAGATTTTAGTAAGTAGTTCTGTAATTCGTTGTTAATTTCTTTCGGTTGTCCCCATTGGTGTTCTTGTTCACTACAATTCTGCTTAACAGCCATTGTCATCAATTTTAAAGTTATTTTCAAATGTATATATTGGTTGTCAGTGTCCAGTTACCATAGCAGCCAGGGATTTATTTGTTTTCTGGAATAAAATGAGAAAAGAAATGTGAAAGTGTATGTTTTTTTTTATTCTGACTGATTAGTTTTTTGAGAGGTTTGAAATGTGTTTTGTATATACTGTTCCCTTCATGTGACCTTAGGTAATTTGTGATATGTTGTTTATTCTCCCTTTCTTCCTTTTGCTTTACTTCTATACCAAAATTAATGAGACGTATTAATATATATAACTTTCTGTTCATCCTTAACACCCGCATTCATTATTTTTAAATATCAAACTTATTTTCGAATTTTTGAAGTCCTATTTTTTCATTGAAGCAATAGGCCCCCAAATGCCCTGGTATGGCCGAGAGCGGGGAGGGTTCGCCCTCCCTCTCGAAATACTCTAACACGGCCACGCGTTTACAGCCTCTGCCAGGGAAGTCCTACTCACTGCCTTCTCGTGGCGGGAGTGTTGTTTACGAACATGAGAGGACGAAAAGCGAATGTTTGGCGCTATAACCGGATCCCAATTCTATGGTGCACATGGGCTCCAGTATCCTGAGGGAACAAATGGCGTATGAATCAACTTCTGGTCACCGGCTTCCATGGGACCGCATCTCCTCACGATGCTCCATTGCCTTGTGGACTAGACCCTTGGGTCAAAGGCTCGGGGTGTGTCCCCTAAGAAAACCACCTGCTTCGGTTCGGGCACCCAGGCAGTATCTCAGCCCACGCACTAAAACCATGTTGATGAACTATTTGCTTATGGAAAATATTCCTTTCTATCTGATTAACATTGAAATGACTCGTACTATTATTATTATTACTATTATTATTATTATTGTTATTATTATTATTATTATTATTATTATTATTATTATTATTATTATTATTATTATTATTATTATTTTACCACGTCATTTATTCACCCTCTCTTATACCTACTTTAAGTATCCGTTTCGACCTAGACAGCAGCTCGCCTATGGTGAAAATTCAGCTTTATCTAAACGTTCTCGAGTCACTGCCTGGTTGAAAATTGTATGTTACCACCGAATATGAATACTGAAGCAGTTTTTCTGAAACCACGTACACCATTCAAACTGGCTGCCTTCAACGTTCGCACTCTTATGCAGGTCGGACAACAGATAGGGCTGGCTATGTCTTTGGAAAGTCTTAATATTGACGTGTGCTGTCTATCAGAGACCCGTATTCAAGACTCTGGTGAAGTACTACAAGTTCGGTCTCCATCTGTCGCTTCAAAAAGCTTGTTTTATGTGCGTTTATCCGGGGACCCTGTGGCATCTTCGTCTGGTCTTGCTGGCGTTGGTGTCGCACTAAGCGCAAGAGCTGAGGCAGCACTAGTCGACTGGATCCCCATTAACAGTCGGTTATGTGCTGTTAGATTAGAAAGTTCCATCAAAGTGAGAAGAAATCGGCGTGAGAAACGATGTCTTTTCGTCATCTCCGCCTATGCCCCGACAGATTGCAGACCGGATGCAATCAAGGACGAGTTCTACCACCAGCTAACTGTTCTTCTCCAGAAAGTGCGTTCGACAGATATTGTAGTACTAGCCGGAGACTTGAATGCTCAGGTCGGGCGTCTAGGCACAGAAGAGAGTCGTTTAGGTGGCCGATGGGGGCTTGTTGGTCGCAGGACAGATAACGGGGAATGTCTACTGCAACTATGCACAGACCACAACCTGTTTCTGGCTAGCAGTAACTTTCGGCACAGTCATCGCCGATGTGCCACCTGGCGTCCTCCTTCTGCATCTCAAGCCTGGACTCAGATTGATCACATCGCGATCAGCTACCGCTGGCGCGGTTGTGTACAAGACTGCCGCTCCTTTTGGAGTACCTATCTGGAATCTGATCATGCTCTGGTCTGTGACAATCTTACCTTACTTTTCAGTGGACAACGAAGTGACCGCCACCACAGGATTGATGTTAGCAAACTGGCTGCAACTTCTGTTGCTAGTATGTACCGAACCGAGCTAGCTTCTAGGCTAGCTACCACTCCACCGAAAAGTATAGATGAGCATTGGTTGCAATTGCATGACGCCATGAAAATGGCGGGTCAAGTCAGTTGTGGGTTTGCGAAACGTCTGTTGGTCCTTCACGACTCCCTGGTTGGAGTCCGAAAGACGGTGTAACGCACTGGCTAGAGACGTTATCAGATATGGCTCAGAATAGAAGCCAGTGGCGATCCTGCTGTAACCTTCTTTTACTTTCTTCATAAAAAGTGGTTGTATCTTCCTTAACTGAAAGATTTCTTCTGATTGTACCTTACCGTTTCCCCCACCAATGTTCTCTCTCTCTTTTTTTTTATAATTCCCCACGTTCATTACTTTATATATATATTTTTTTTTTTCTCCTTCTCTTCAAATTATCATTGTTTTGTGTGGCGCATATATATTTGGTGCCCCACTGTACCAATATTTATGTGTTCAAATAAAATAAAATAAAATAAATATACAATTGATTTTTGTTATTACTCAGTACAAAAATCAAAATGAAATAACATTCCTAATGTTTTAATCAATTGATTTTTTGTTTT